ATTTCTAATGAAACAAATATGGCAGAAGTGATGGTATGTGACTTACAAGGCTAGGTCATAAAAGGTACTGTGGTTTCCTCCTCGTTCGTGAGTGGGGATCGCTCATTCTGAGGGCAGCCAGCTGCCACATGGCAAAGACACTCAAGCAGCCCTATGGAGAAGCTCATATGGCACAAAACTGAGGCCGCCTGCCAAGAGTCACGTGAGCGAGCCATCTTGGAAGTCGGTCCTCCCGTCCCAGTTAAACCTTGAGGTGACGACAACCTTATGAGAGATCCTGAGCTTCAACCACCAGCTAAGCTGCTCTTAGGTTCCTGATCCACAGACGTTATGTGAGACAGTAAATGTTTATTGTTTTCAGCTGCTAAAATTTGAGCTCATCTGCTATGCAGGAATAGCAAACCATTGTAGTACAACAGATAATGGATTTAATGTCATGTTTTAATACATAATATGTATTTATTTTCATCCCTCAGTTTTAATTTCTAATGGGGTGACTATCAATAGATAGAATCCAATTAAATGAAAGTTCTTAGGAGTTCTCAGTTTTTAAGAAAATAAAGGGGCCCTGAGACCAAAACATTTGAGGGCTATTTCCCTAAACTCTTCACAAATTTCCTCTTTATTAAACTTTCCTCAAATGACTCCATGTGTGAATACCATTTGCTTCCTTTCAGGACCCTGACTGATATAACAATACCAAAATATTATCAATGGTGGTTGCTGTTTGGTGGGAGTATGAGTGGTTTTATTTTATTCTTAATCTTTCTTTTTTCTGCACTTTTAAGATTTTCTACAACAAGGGTGCATTATTTTTATAATTAGAAAAAAAGAAGCTTCCCTTTCCAGAATCATCAAAAGTGAAAGTCAGAGCTGTGCTTCCTTTGCGTGAGTCCACGGTTTCGGGGTGCTTTGCAGAACCCAGGTGTGACCTGATGCACCAGGAGAAAGGGGGGCAAGGAGATGTCTGCAGGTGCGGGGGTGGGAAAGGAGTGGCGGTGGATGAGGTTCTAGCATGCCCCCCCCCCACAGCTTCTCTCAGCCAGAATAGCTCTTTCATCTGTTTTACATATTGGGTTTCCTGCATAATATTTCATTTAAAGGAAAATTTCCACTGCTTAAAAAAAAGGTTGAAAACCTTTACCATGAAAATAACAGTTGAAGAGCTAAATTTAGGCTATAGAAGAATCACTCAAACTTTTGAATGTGAACAGAGTTTCCATAAAGAAAACCCTACATGTTCTGAGCGAACAGAAGCCATGACACGTTAACGAATGTTCAGTGGTTTCAAGGGAGCCTGGGCCCATGTGTTTTGGGAAGGAGTTTTAGCTAGGGATGAAGAGCTTATCCAGGGACCCCCCTCAATACAAAGGGCCAAGAGGCCCGCAGAAACACCAGGGTCTTTAAGGCCCAAAGTGACACAGATCAGAACCACAAGTAAGTGGTTTTCCTGTTTTCTAGGGAAAACAGAACGCAGAAGGTGCCAGGATCTCCTGATAGATGAAGGATCTACCTTCAAGTCCTGAGTCTGACACGTAAAACCTGTGAGACCTTGGCAAGTGCCAAAGCCTCTCGGAGCTTTCATGTCCTCGTCTGTAGAAGGGGGTTTGAGAATATAAAAGGCTGCTGCTATTTTGGAAAAACAGTTTAACAGTTTTTGAAAAAGTGAAACATAAATGTACCGTATGACCCAGCAATGCCATTCCTAGGTAACTACTCAAGAGACATGAAAACATACGTCCACACAAAAGGCTTGCCCGTAAATGTGCTTAGCCACATTATTCATCGTAACCCAAAGGAAAATCATCTAAATGTTCACCAACTGGTGAATGGATATTCATACACTGGGATAGTAGAGTGCAATAAAGAGGAATAGAGTCCCGACATATGCCACAACCTGCATGTACCTTGAAAACATTATTCTAAGTGAAAGAAGCCACGAGAAAAGATGCCATATTGTATGAGTCCATGTAATGCAATGTCCAGAAAAGCAAGTACACAGAGGCAGAAAACAGATTAGTGGTTGTCTGGAGATGGGAGTGGGGATGGGAACCAGGAGTGACTACAAATGGTCACAGAGGTTTTTGTGGGGGTCATGGAACGTTCTAAAACTGGGTTGTGGTGATGGATGTAGAACTCTGTAAATTTACTGAAAATCATTGACTGGTACACTTCAAATGGGCATATTTTATGACGTGTAAATTAAATCTCAATAAAGCTGTTTTTAAAAAATGGGCAGTGAGAACACGAGGGTGGGGCTCAGGCAGGGGCTCTGAGGCCAAGGAAGGTCCCTGACACCCGGGCATTAGCCTGGAGGCAGTGCACAGGCAGAGAAGGAAATTCAGTGAGTTCCCCAGTGCTGCCTTTCTCTGGAACGACTCACATTGCCCTGGCAGGTGGAGGAGGTTGACTCAGCCACTGCTGTGAGCTCAGGGGAGCGGGGGAGCTGCCACCCCACATTCCCATCCCGCTATAAGCTAACGCCCCATCAGCCTCCCCTACACCAGCTCTACCAGCACACAGAAGCCATCCCCACCAGCTGGAGCAGTGGGCTCTGTCATGCTGCCAGGACAGAGCACAGCCGGGAGAGATCGCCTGAGGACTGACGGCAGCTTCACAACTCTCCCCCCAAACCCAGCCACCGAGGATCCCCAGAGCACCTCTCACCCCACCCCACGGCCTGCCACAGTGCACAGTGCTCCGGGCCTCCACCCTCACTCAGCTGTCCCCTAGAACCAGGGGACCAGCCTACGGGGTCTAGCACTTTTCTCCTGAAATTTAATCCACGTACTCTTGGATCCGGCTCTTTCATTTTTCCACATCTGTCCTAGATAATCACTTACATGCGTGCACAAAACGTTCACTTCGGCGAAAGCAAAACTGCTGAAAAACTCACAGGCGCATCAATAAGGAATCTGTTCAAACATTCTGGTTTGAACATCTATACTATGGAATACTACGCAGCAGTTAAAAAGAATGGTGCAGATCTACGATTCCACTGCCGACGTCCTGGCATGAAAACACGTCCAAGATATATTGTTGGGTGATAAAAAAGAAAATTGCAGAATAATGTATCCAGGATGTCATCGCATAAAAACAAAACCGAAAAAAACCCAACTAGTGCTCTATTTCTCCAAGTCCACAAATACATATGTAGATGAGAAAAATGCGTGGAAGGAAACAGCAAACAAACAGTATGGCTGTACTAATTACAGAACCCTGCACACTTCTGTGTTTGATTTTTATAAGAATGTGTTGTGTATATTTGGGTTCTTAAAAACATTAAAGTCTGGTAAAAAAAAAAAAAAAACCAGAAAAAATGTGTTACAATGATCACCACATTGGTGCAGAGTTCAGGGTCACTTTTCAAAGAGCTGTCACATGAAGGATCTTGTCTAATTCTTGCCACACCCCAGTGAGAATGAAGGCCAATCCCCCATTTTGCAGATTAAGAAACTGGATGGATCCAAAGAGGTGAAACCAACAGCGCAAGGTGACACGCAGGGCTGACGGGCCCCTGGTGGTCCTTCTAACCAGCACACCAGGGCATGGGGCCTGGGCCGTGGACGGGGGTAGGCAAGGGCCTTCTGAAGCAGCACAGCCACTTCAGAGACTCCACAAAGCCCCTTCCGGGAGGGGGAGAGGGGACCTTGTCAGGAGAGAAGGGAGTCAAAGATGAGTGGTGAAAGACGAGCTGATGAACTATCACCCACGACAAAAATTAGACATCATGCTGCCCACGGAGTGGGATGGGCCTGCCACGTCACCCAGCAAATGACACGTGGGAAAGAGCCTCTCAGGGCCGTGTGCCCTGAGCCTGAGATCTCATGTCTCTCTCTAGGGGGCTGCTCACCTCAGGCACTCAGCTGACCAGCTGAGCAGTTCCAGGAACGCCTCTCTGCCCATTTCCCAGAGTGCTCTATAACCAGGGCAGGCATGGAATTGTGCTTCTCAGAGGGTTCTGGAACCCGAGGAGCAACGGGCATAAAGCCCAACACCCTCTAGTACGGTGCCACCAAGTCTCAGTTCTCTTACTGACTGCTTTAGCACCAAGTGTCGGGAGGGTGTGCGAAGGCAGGAGTCCAGAGGGACCCAGGAAACACAGTGAGGCCCCTCCAGAGACAGCCAGACAGGGCTCATATACAGAGAGGGACCAGAGACTGCTGCGGGTGAACACACACACACACACACACACACACACACACCCTCAGCTGCACAATGAGCAGGCATGTCTCCTGAAAGCATTCTCAGAGAAGAAGGCTTTGGTCACATCGTGGACCCTCCATCCATGTAACAGGAAGCAAACCTACAAGGCCACGAGGCCAGCCACAAGAGCTTGAATCCTGGGGGTTCTGATCCCACCTCTGCTACCTTGGTCAAGGTTCTGAACCTCTCTGGGTCTCAGTTTCCTCATCTGTAAAATAAGTGTTTTATACCTGCCTCTTGGGTATCGTGATAGCTGGATCATGAAACACATACTAGTAATATACTTAAGTAAAATATAATAGAGGGTATCCATAAAATCTGGAAACACAGATTATGTGAGCATGTATATGTGTGTATATTTATTTATTCATTCATTTTATAAAGTGAAAATGTCCTAGACAACATTGTGCATATTTGTCTACATTTTCAGACTTTATGCACACCCTATATATATTATTTTTGCATACATATAAATATATTATAATTTATATATTTATAGCAATGTTTATATTCTATACCACTTTATATTATGTAACCATTATGTAAGTAGTTACCACGTTTTATTTTATTATATTATTGTATTTTTACTCTTACTTTATGTCACTAGGCACAAGAGCCTAAGATAAATTTGGAGCATTCGTAAGACCTGTGAGGCTGCCCAAACTTGGGAGAGGGCCCGGACCCACCCCCCAGCCCGCGCCTCTACTGCACAGAACGTGAGGGCCAAACCCTGAACCGGAGGCACAGGAGGCCAAGGCGCCGCCAGCCGCCAACCATCCGCCCGCGTGGCCTACCTTCCTCGGCGTCGTTCCTCAGGGAGGCCTCCAGCAGGGCCACGCTGGCCTCGAAGGTCACCTTCTTCCGCCGGCCGCCGGTGCTGCGCTTCCGCTCATGCTTGCGTTTGCGATGCTGCAGGTCCTGCTCGTACTGGGCCCACTTCTTCAGCTGCTGGGCCCGGCGCTTCTGGGCGGCCCGCAGCCGCTCCAGGGTGGGCACCTTTTCCAGCAGCTGCAGCTCTGTCAGCAGGTCCACGTGGCTGGCCATGGCCACTGCTTCTCCCCACGCCCCGGCTGGGGGCTAGCACCGTGCGCCCGGGGCCCGGGGAGCGCGGGGGCTCCGGCGGGGCTGGGGCCTCATGGTGGGGCCTGTGGCGGGAGAGAGGCAAAGGACAGGCTTGTTAGGCTCAAAACTCTGACCTAATTATGTCACCCTGCCCCATAAAACAGCTTTTATTCTATTTCATTGTTTTTTTTCCTTTTCTCTTTTTTAATTGAGATATAATTGACCCGTAACATTGTGAAAGTTTAAAGGTGTTGATTTGATACACTTATATATTGCTATATGATTACCCCTGTAGGGTTATAGCTAACACCTCGATCACATCACACATCAGTAAGTACTCTTACTTTATTGTGGTTATATTGTTATAACATGCAAGGTTGTTACATTGTTATAACATATAAGCGGTTTATTATATTGTTATAATTGCTATCTTGTTACAACATATAGGGGGTTTATTGTTAATTTTAAAGGCGTTAATACTATATCTTTAATTTCTCATATTAACTTATAATATGCTAAATATTGACAGAGATAATCCACAGAAACAAAAGCTCTGGAAAGTTTTGGGATTCTTAATTTTAAGAGAATAAAAGAGTCCAAAAGCCAAAAAGCTTGATAATTGATAAACTACTAGGATCTGGAAAATCTTAGCTGAAGTGTTCCTCTTTAGCTGATCTTAATTTTTTTTTTTCAAGTCATACCTCTTGCTCTCATTGATTCCTGGACAATACAAGGGAGGTCAACAAAATTTCAGAGTCTGAAGCCCATTGGTCCCTGTCTTCATGTCAGCACAGACCCCATGGGCTCTCAGACAGAGGGAGAGAGTCAGAAAACTCAAATCTCTCAGAGCCTGTTTTCCCACCTATAAAATGTTGTATTCACCTCCCAGAAAGTATAGGATGTTCATGGAATAAAAAGAGCTGACCAAAAGTGTTATACACCTAATAGCAAAGAGAAACAAGCTTGGAGAAAGAAAAGCAGTGTGCCTGGGAACCCACAGGCAAGGCTAGTAGTGGAGCATTGGAAGTTGTTGGGAGACAGAGAAAGACCAGCTCAGGTGGACATCTGTATCATGTGGAAATGCTGCCATCACAAAGGAGATCAGGATAGCCCTGGGCTTCAGGCAGTGATTGTAATCTCCTGGGGTCCGTTTCATTGCTGCCCCTGGGGTGCTTGTCTTCAAGAGGCTAAAGACCAGGGTTCAGCCTTAGCCTGAACCCTCAGGTGCTCAGATTGGGTCAGAATGTCCTTCAGACCTCTCCCAGCTCTGAGGCTGGAGGGTGGGCAGGTGGAATGGGGAAGCAGCTGGCTTGGTGATGCTCCCAAGGCAAAGGTCCCAGGATCCGAGTGGACCTGGGGCCAGGCTCAGCAGGAAACAGCTAACTGGCTTTGGTTGTCTTTTGTTTTGTATTTTTTTCTTTTGAATACTTACCATGATTTTAATTAATTCATTAAACCTTTTATTTTGAGATCACTGTAGAATCACATGCAATGGTAACAAGTAACATAGAGAGATGCCGTGGACCCTTTACCCAATTTATCCCAGTGGTAACGTCTTGCAAAACTGCAATATAATATTACAACCAGGAGCCTGACATTGATACAATCTATCAGTGTCATTCATATTTCCCCAGTTTGACATCTACTCGTGTGTGTTTGTGTGTGTGTGTTTAGTTTTATGCAATTTTACTACCTGGGTAAGTTCATGTATCCACCACCATAATCAAGATACAAACAGTTCCAACACACAAGGACCCCTAAACCCCCTCCCCCAACACACCCCGTCCTTGCCCTTGGCCATCACTAATCTGTTCTCCATGTCTAGAATTGTGTCACTTCAAAAATGTTATATAAATAGAATCAGACAATAGGTAACCTTTCAGGATTGACTTTTTTCATTCAGCATGATGCCTGTAAGATGCATCCAAGCTGTTGCCTGTGTCGAGAGTTCATTCCCTGTTCATTGCTGAGTAGTGATATTCCATTTTATGGATGTGGCCCAGTCTGTTTAACCATTCAACCATTTCAGGACACCTGGGTTGTTTCCAGTTTGGGGCTATTACATTCATGTACAGGTTTTTGTGTGAACATAAAAGTTTTCAGGGGCGTCCAGTTAGCTCAAGTGCTCAGAGCGCAGTGCTCATAACACCAAGGTTGCTGTTTCGAGCCCCACATGGGCCACGGAGCTGTGCCCTCCACAACTAGATTGAAACAAACACTTGACTTGGAGCTGATGGGTCCTGGAAAAACACACTGTTCCCCAATAATTTAAAAAAATGTTTTCATTTCTCTGACTAAATGCCCAGGAGTACAATTGCTGGCTTGTACGGTATGTACATGTTTGGTCTTATAAGAAACCGTCAAACTGTGTTCCAGGCTGTCCTCACCATTTTTCATTCCCAACGGCAATGTATGAGTGATCCGGTCTCTGTCGGCATTTGGTGTTGTTACTGGTTTTTATTAGAGCCATTTAGATCGGTATTTTGGTTGCCTTTTTAAAAGGAGCTCAGAAGGGTTGAATTCAACCACACCGTATTGTCATGACGGTCAGACCTCACTGGGAGCTAGTGGGCAACATGTTTACTTTCCCTCCCTTCCTCAAGAGATCAAATATTTAATGAACGCTTGCTCTGTGAGGAGCCCTGATTCATAGATGGGTCAGGGAGCAGCTCTGCCTTCTAGGAAATCCCAGCCTGTCTGTCTGTCAACCTATGTATAAATTCACTTAATCCCCCTGAAAAGCTAATGAGATAGGTACCGTATTTGCCGGCGTATAAGACGACTGGGCGTATAAGACGACCCCCTAACATTTCCACTCAAAATACAGAGTTTGTTATATACTCGCCGTATAAGACTAACCCCTCTTCCGCACACCTTCCACACACCAAATAAAAGGTAAAACAATATCAGATTTGATTTCAACATTTTAATTTATATTCAAATGCTTATGACATGCAGGAAAACTGTCACAAGGCTGTATGTAATCAAACATATACATAAAACAGTGCAAGTTTATTACCGGTAAACATACCGGTAATTCACTAAAGAAAACACACTCTATAGACTGGTACCGTAGATTTTGCGAGTGTGGTAAAATCGCATAACAGCAAAATCGCATAACAGCAAAATCGCATAACAGCCGAGCATACACCCAGCAGCGCTGCTGATGCCTGAACGGTATGTGGAATGAAGTGGGCGGGCATCGGGAGGCCACTATGGCACGGGGCAAGCACTATGGGCAGTCTATCTGAAGTGTACCTGGCGTATAAGACGACCCCCCACTTGGAGGCATATTTTTCAGGGCCAAAAAATCGTCTTATACGCCGGCAAATACGGTACTATTATCATCCCCATTTCACAGATAAGGAAACTGAGGCACAGAGGGATGAAGTAACTTAACCCAACATCACACAGTTAGAAAATGGAAGTAACCATCTGCCTGGGGTTATCAGGAAAGGCTCTCCCAAGAAGGGGACAACTGATAATCCCAAAGGATGGGCAGGAGTTCGCCAGGTGAGAGGGACAGACATGGGCTGAGAGGGAGCTTGGTAATGTTGAAAGGCATGGAGCGGGGCTGACCATCACGGAGGGAATTCTGGAAATCAACACACACAGACGTGGCTTGAAGAGGACAGGGCTGCCCAACCCCAAAGGAACAGAAATCTTGGGGGCAGTGGTGAGCCACTTGGGGCTGTGGGCCAGACAGACCTAACCCGAAAAACCCCTGTGGTCCACACCATGTTTTACAATATTGTAATTCACCATCAACATTTAACACTTGGAGATTTTTATATCCAAAATCAGATTTTCAGCTTTTCTTAGAACACCTCAGTCCCTGGCCATGCTGAGCTCACATGGCAGCAATCATCAGGTGTTGAGTGGGACTGTCCCCTTAATACAAGGCACATACCCTCTAATTTACCATGTTCCCCCCCTTTACTACCACTTGACCTCCTTCACTAATTGATCTCACTCGTTAGGTCCTACGGTTATTTAAGTTTGAACTTCCCCAGCCATCATCTCAGCCAAGTGTTTCCCTAAGTGTGGAAAGAGAACCCACTCTGAAGGAATTTTCAAAAGTACAGGACAAGGTTTAATATATTAATAGCATGGACTCAGAGACAGCGAGTATACCCTTTCCCTTTCTTTTTTAATCTATCAGATTCTCTCAGGTTCATACTAATAGACCTTTAACATCATTATAAGCATGCTAATCTTCCTTGTAAACAAAGAAAAACCAGGCCTTGGACTCATGGCCTTGGGCAAGCGATTATATCCAGGATAGAAGGTAATAACATTGTTGTGTTTTCTGTGGATTTGTTTTCACAGTTACTTTTTATTGATGGTGGTGATATAAAATTTCCTTTGTGTATAAATCTACTTCAGTGGCAAGCTAGCAAGGTGGTAGCAAAGAAAAATTACATGATGATGGCATTTAGTATTGGCCCAATTTTTAAGTGACTGACATTTGGGAAACCCATCTGGCCACTGATCCTCTCTTATAAAATGGCAATCTTATAAGAGACGCACTCGTAGGTGCTCATTATTTCATCTGATAAGTGTTATGGGGCATCTATCACATGCCAGGACTGTGCTAAGGGCTAGGGGTCCAGGAGGGTCAAAGACAGGCACATCCCTGCTCATTGGATGGGTGGAGGCACAAGGAAGTGGGTGACATGCTCCAAGGATACAGAGATGGAGCAGGACCTTGAACCCTGGGCCTGACTCCCAGTGCAGTGCTCCCTCCCCGGGCCCCACGGTGGCGAGCCCCAGGAAGAGACAGAAGGCGTTCACTGCAATGCCGTCCCTGGCTTGGGCAGTTTGCTCAGGGTGGAGGAATTAAGGGCAGTCGCCCAGCTCCCTGGAGAAGGTGAGGACAATGTCTCCCAGGGGCCAATAAAAGGGGCCAGAGCACATTGTCTCTGACTTTGCGCTCCCTGCCAGCCCCTCCTGCCTCGCCCTCCTGGGTTCCCTGGAGCTGGGGCTCCAGGACAGCTCCCTCTTGACTACTGGTTTTCAGGTGACCTAGTTTCCCCCAATAGACCCACACACCTCCTCCCACCCCCAGCCAAGAAAACCCTGC